TTGGAATGAAGTAGTACGACAACACATCATAAGCAAATCAGTACAACAACTTTGTAACCCTGCCGGTCAAGCTTCGAGTGGAAACCTATGGAGCAAGTTGGACAAGCAGAAAGTTCCTTTCTAGAAGCAAATTATTTGAGTGCCAGCAGCTAGCCTCCTGACAGTACAGAAACTTGGTGCAAAAGCTAAGGAGTTTTGTGATCCGAGTGTGACAGCTGGAATTGCACAATCAACTGCAGATCAGAACTTTGAGATTTGAGCATAACGGGAAGTACCACTGTTTAAATTTTTTTTCCCAAAAATACCACCCAACCCCAAAAAATTTCAAAAATACCACCCTTTTTCAAAAACCGCCACCCCACCCAGCGGTTTGGTCGAAAACCGCTTGTCGGGGGCGCGGTTTTGGACCAAACCGCGGGCCTAGGAGGCGGTTATAAAAAAAAAAAAAAGATTGGACCAAAACCGCTGGGTGGGGTGGCGGTTTGGCCCAAAACCGCCACCCCAACCAGCGGTTTGGTCCAAAAGTTCGGTCGAAACTTCAAACGAACGTAACTTTGCACTCGGGTATCCGATCGTAGCGATTTTTTTTTTTCATTTCGCATAACTTTTCAAGATCTACAACTTTTACTAGGATAAAATTTTCAAAACAGGAACTATTTGTGGATATACGGGACCTTGAGAATAACTTTACCTTTACTTTTCAGAAATCCATGTACATTTTGAAATTATGATTATATTAAAAGTTGTAGATCTTGAAAAGTTATGAGGAATCAAAAAAAAGTTCATAACATTCGGAGTTTGGAGCACAAAGTTATGGCCGCCCAAAGTTTGACGAAAGGCGAGACCCGGCGGTTTGCGGCTTGCAAGATCTCAAAAAGTTTGCGGCTTCCATTTTTTGAATCCGAATCACTTTTTGAGATCTTGCAAGTCTCAAACAGTCGGGTTCCGTCTTCGTCTCGAAAAAACGTCATTTGCCACCCCGAACGACCTTTTTTTATTTCGTCAAACTTTGGGCGGCCATAACTTTGTGCTCCAAAATCCGAATGTCATGAATTTTTTTTTATTCCGCATAACTTTTCTGAAAAGTAAAGGTAAAGTTATTCTCAAGGTCCCGTATATCCACAAATAGTTCCTGTTTTGAAAATTTCATCCTAGTAAAAGTTGTAGATCTTGAAAAGTTATGCGAAATGAAAAAAAAAATCGCTACGATCGGATACCCGAGTGCAAAGTTACGTTCGTTTGAAGTTTCGACCGAACTTTTGGACCAAACCGCTGGTTGGGGTGGCGGTTTTGGGCCAAACCGCCACCCCACCCAGCGGTTTTGGTCCAAATTTTTTTTTTTATAACCGCCCCCTAGGCCCGCGGTTTGGTCCAAAACCGCGCCCCCGACAAGCGGTTTTCGACCAAACCGCTGGGTGGGGTGGCGGTTTTTGAAAAAGGGTGGTATTTTTGGAATTTTTTGGGATTGGGTGGTATTTTTGGAATTTTTTTTTAAACAGTGGTACTTTTGGATTTTTTCCAGGGAAATGTTGCAACTTACCATTTCAGGGCTGATTCGCGACCACAACAACAAGGCAAGTTAATTCCAATGCAACGGCCAGAAACTTCATTATAAAAAGGAGACCTGGAATAGCCATAGAGCAGACTTTTCGGGTGAGACAAAATCAAGAGAGCAATAGAGTTTTGCGTGGGATTTTGTATAGAAAAGTCGGCACAAGAGTCGGGGAGGCTTTTGGGTTCTGATACAGGACTGTATCAGTGTCTCTATTAGTTGGATAGCTAATAGAGTGTGAAAAGAGTGAGGTTCGATCTTGCGGGGAGCAGATTGAACAGGTTTGAGTGTTCCATTGTAAGCTCGAAGAACTTCAAAGCCAAATCATTAGTGAATCGTCGGAGAGCGCCAAAAGCGTGACGCCGACCGTGGACTAGTCGACGTTGGGATTCTTATTCTCCCAACGTTGGAAACCACGTAAAAATCTCGTGTGCACTGTACCATCTCTCTTCCCTGCCATCTGGATGAGGAACTCTGTTCTTGGCTTGTTCATATATGTTCGTTAACAGGGCTTTTGTTAGTCAAACGCATCACTTCAGCCTGAGTAAGTTAAGTGGTTTCCATTATTTCATTTTTTTTTTTTTTGGACCAAGCTCTTTAGTTGTAACTCGTAGGCTAAGTGTGTGGGCTTAAGTAGTTTAGTCCAAATTATATTATTGAATAGAATTAAAATTATTTGGGCCGAGTCCTCAAGCCCAACACCAGTTTGGCGCTTCAAACAAAAACACACAAAATCGTGTTCAGCTGTATCTATTTCGATCAAACATAAGAAATTTCCTGTTCTTTCACTTGTTCTCGGAGAAAGGTTTGGCTGGGTTTTTGCAGGAGACGAATCAAGTGAAATAAGACTGAATCGAAGGGGAACGTCTCGCGCTCGACGCACCAGCATCTATGTCATATTAAAGTTCATATCATCATATTAGATTGAGAGTACTAATTAAAGTTCAAAATTTGATGTATTATGGACACTTTTAGAGTTGGGTGCACTAAGTGCGCCGAAGTAGCCATCAAATATGTAAATAATATTTAAAAAATGAATATTCAAGTAATTCATTCTTAAAAGAAAATTAACATATTAATTTCTTTTTGTATAAACAATAGTGACGTGTTTTCTTATATGAAAAGAATCGTGAAAGAACATTTATTGTCTATAAGACTTCTTGTATCTAGTATTAGAATCTTATATATAAACCTATGTGGTGATAATAATTTTTTCTCCAAATTTTAAATACGCCTAGTGACAAAGCCAACCCGCCACTGAAAACAGGGATGGATGGTTCGATTTACTTTAGTTGTGTTTCATTCTCTCATTTTTCTCTTCTATTTATCTTGTTTCCTTTGTTGGCTGTTGGTTCACAAGTAGTTGTCGGATCCTGGTTTGTACCTTCCTTCCTCTTAATAAATTATCGTCGCCCTTATAAGAAAAAATAGTACATTCTCATGTAAGATAACTTTTAGTGCAAGAGAGTTATCTCATCCTTAATATGATCTATTATGAAACCCATGAGTTATGAAGGAATATGAGTATTACATTTGATTCAATTGGTTATAAGAATAAAGAGTTATCAAAGATTAATAACTATAAAGAGTTATGTTCCTATTGTAACTCTTCCATGATGGATGGTTGAGATTAACACACCGTTTGGTATAAATGAATTCCATAAGTTTAGAGGAATTCATTTTGGAATGCAACATTTTTGTGCATGATATTTAAAAGAATTCATTTTCAATTCTAAATTTTGAATTCTATGGAATTGGAACTAGTTATAGCAATTCCGAGAATTGAGATAGAATTTCCAAACGAATTCCAAAAGTATTTACTAATTATAACAGAATGATATAATTATCCTCTTTTATCAACTAAATTACTTATATATATGAGTATATGACATACCAAACGCGGAAATTCTTTGACAATGAATTCTACACGCCAATTTATTTTATTTCACAAGATTTGAATATGACATACCAAACACAAGATTTCATTTGACAATGAATTCTACACGGTAATCCATGTTACAATGAAATGAATTCTCGACTCATTTGGTACCAAACGGTCTGTAAGTGTAAAGAAAAACTTAGGAGGAATTTTGGTCCTCTCTCCATCTATAAATACGATGCTTTGTACCATCACAATAACATATCATAAGAAACACATATATCAAGTGACTTGTATGCTAGGGGAGAGAACCCAAAATTCAACATTGCTACTTCTTCATAAGTTCTCTCTCAATCACCATGGAAGAAGGTATTCTTCTAATCTCTTTTCTATTTCATGTGATTATCATGTTGTTCTAACGATTGTCGCAACCGCCCCTTGAGATCGGGGGACCCGTCGCGATTTGCTCAGAGTCGCCATCGACCGTGCTTTGGGGTGGGTCGAACACCATTTTCCGGTTTTAATTTTTTTTTGTTAAAACCAGAATTCTGGTCTGCGGATTTTATATTGTTCTAGGTTCGGGAGTACGGTTACATGTGGGGAAGTGTATTCACACCCCACAACGCCCCATAACGGGTACTACGTAAATCGATAAGTTTTTTAGAGGTTGGGTGTAATATTAATTGGGATTTGTTTGTGTATTTAGTTGTAATATTTGATTATTTTAAATTAGTAAGAATATAAATTGTTAGAGTCCAATTGGACGATGTTATTGGTATAAACTTGAATTTAAAGTTACCGGTTTACACGTCTATTGACGTAAAAAGGTTTTTTAGATTGGTTGGACTCGAACCTATCGGTTGCCTACGTACCCGGGTTAACCGGGATCAAAGTCCACGTAGTTCGAACATTTTGAGAGATTTTATGAAATGATCTCAACACGTTATATTGATCGTGGTTTAGATGATAAATTGAGTTGTTAGGAAGTGTATTTATGATTTATAGTGATTGAATGATAGGTTATCTTTGTAAGAATTTCATCGAGAATGACCATCACGGTCTATCGACCATGATTTCATATTAAGGAAATTTACTTGGTAAGTAGATACATGTATGAACAATAGAAGCCCAAACGAGGATATTAATCAATATTGTTAGTATTTTGAAATATTTAGGGATAATCTTATCTTGGTAAAAAAGATCTTACCACGATTAGTCAATATGGATTTTTGCGTATTAAACTTATTTAGGGGGAATCGTATTTTAATTTTATACTAAATTGAAAACGAAAGAACTTAGACAACGAGAAATAAGTTGCAGTCCGATTGGTTAGGTGGGTAGACTTGGTTTTCGCTGACCAGATATAAACTGGTTCGATTCGGCTCTCTCTATCGTCCTCTTTTTTCTTTTCCTCTAAAAAACGGAAAAAAGAAACCCTAGGAGAGAACCGGACACTAAATCAAAATCCCTTCTGGTTTTCGTCGATCCGCCATCCTCTCCTTTCAATTTTTCTAACTTTCTCGATTCTTCTATCATTCAAACTTTCTCTACTCATCTCTTTAGTATTCGGGAAATGACGAGAGGTAAAGGAAAGAAAGAGAGATGGCGACGGAACGGCGAAGACCGACACAATCCCCGCTGGCCATCATTGACGACGATGGCGATTGAATTTCAGGTAAAATTTCTTGCCTTGCATGTCGATTTTCTTAGGATTTTCCTCGATTTTGGTTGGATTTCGACTTTGAGCGAGTGTCTGATGCATGTTTCTCTTCTGATTTCTGGGTTTTTTTGTGGGTTTCTATTTTGGGTTCGATCAAGGGGAAAGAAGAAAAAGATCTCGACGGCGATGAGCTCGGCGGTAGTGGTATCGGGAAGAAAAGCTGAGGGAGAAGAAGAGTCATCGTCGGCGAACCCCGATGACACCGCCGACGTTTGACACGCCGGGGAGTGAGTTAAATTTAGTTTCGACTTTGATTCTGGATTTTCGATGTTGTCTGGGTTTTGATTAGTTTTATTGTTTTCGTTTTTGCTGGTTTTGGGACGAAGAAAGGGGAAAATGGAGGCCGCCGGCGACTCTGAACTGTACCGACGGCGAAGGAGGATGGAAACAACAGGTAGATTTGTTTGGTTTAGGATTTGGTTGGTGGATTTGAATGCTGTAAATCCTTTCCTGGGGTTGAGCCTAAAAATTTGGGCGTTTGACTGTGACTTGTAATTTTGAGTTCTATGGATGGTTTCGGTTTCAGAAAGGGTAGGGGGTTTAGGTTAGAGGGGAAGTCCTTCAAGTATTTCGAGTCTTAAATGGGTCGTGTATGTTAGTTTTTTTACTTACCATGTTTTGGATGTTAGTTTAATGTAACTAGAGATGAAAAATGCTAAACAAACTTAAACAATCAAAGCTAGAAAGGAAAGTAAATCTGAATTTTTTTTCATCACAATATACTAAACATGACAAATCATAAATAAGTGATGAAATTAATCATAGATTTATCTTTTCATTGATTGAGGTTATTATCACCATCTTATGATTTGCTTGGAGTATTGGTTTGAATTCCTCTTTTAAACGCAAATCAGTCAGCTTGAAGTTGCTTGGAAAGGATCAATTTTTGCTTAAAAAGGTTTCCTTGGGTGTATGAATGGTTGTGAGATGACGGTGGAAGAAGTAGATGTACCCACCTTTTTTACTTGATGTCCGATGAAGGGGCTGTTCTGTTGCTTTCCTTTCCCTTTTGGCCTGCTAGACTTTCCGTTTGCAGTTTTCTTTTTGTTGTTTGTGTTTGTTCTTTTTCTATGTTATGTTGGTGTATCTAAGAGGAAGAAGAGCAAAGTAAGGAGATTTTTTTCAGAGCTTGTGTTGTTGTGTTTAGGTAGACGAAGAGAAGAACAAGAAGAAGAAGTGTTGTTTGTCTATGTTTGTAGGAAGGGCTGAAAGAGGAAGAACCAACAGAGAAGAGAAGAAGAAGTGTTGTTTGTGTAAGAAGAAAAAGGATGAAGAAGAAAAAAATAGTTTTTGGCAAGAAGTTTGGAAGAGAAGAAGAGAAGCCGTCCAGGAGGAGAAGGCAGGAAAGAAGTCCCTGGCCAAAAGGGAAAGGAAGCAGTCTCCTCTCTTAGGTAAGAACCAAAAGGCTCTTTTTATAGCGAATTGCTGCTTGGACAGCAAGTATTTCAACAGTGTATTTGTGTTTTTTTCTTTTGGGGGTTGAACCGGTCTGGTTGTGTCAGAGCTGACCGGGTTGACTGGTTTTGACTCATGTTGACTGACTTGACCAAGTTGACCTTTGACTTTAGTTGACTTTGGACTTGGGCTTTGACTTGAGCTCTTTAGCTTATTATTGATTGTAAGAACTATTTTAATTAGTTGTGATATAACATTTATTTAGTAATTGTACTTGTACTTGTAATTTTTAGTTTGTATTTCTAATCGTAATGTAATTATTATCATTAATTGGTAATCATAATGTAATTGTTAATAAAAAAGGTCTGTTATTGATTTCTTTTACACCAAAATCCCAAAGCCCAAATCTCGCAAAGTCCAATTCAACTAGTCAATTCACGCAATGAATAAATTGAGTGAATGGTTAATTCGTATAATCAAAACAAAACAAGTCAACTCAATTGAGTTGAAACAAGTCGACTCTCCCTATCAAATTGTAGCGATCGAGACTTGCTATTGCTTAATCTCCATTGAGTTGAGACAAATATAACCAATCACAATCACAATAAATATGTTTTATCTAGGAGTTCATTTAAGATTTGCTATTGTAAATTTTAACAAAAATTTAGTTAAATATTTTTTGACCCGGACAAAAATTGGTGTCTACAGTTGCCCCCCTTTGTATATCTCTTGGTATTTGAGAGGTATACAAATTTATCATAACACACTATTTTTGGCCGGTTAATTATCGATATAATTTGCAAGGTTGGGGCGCTAGCCCACTCTCTTTTGGTAAGTTAAGGTGAGGTAAGGTAAATTTATGTGGTTGTATGACTTGTTTATTTTATTTTTCATGGCGGTATGGCCTGTGTTAGTTCTTTTGGGTTTTTGGTGGTAGCGCCTGCGTTAGTGTTTTTAGGTGTCTTGACGATAGCCCCTGCATTAGTGTATTTAGGTTATTTGGACGTAGGGCCTGAGTTAGTAATTAAGAATTTTGGTGGTAAGGCCTGAATTGGTATTTAGGTATCTTGGTGGTAGGGCCTGAGTTGGTATTTGGTATTTTGGCGGTAGGGGCTGAGTTGGTATTTAGGTATCGTGGCGGTATAGCCTTACTAGAGTTTTCTGGTTTCATGGCGGTATAGCCCGTTTTAGGAGTGTTTTTCATGGCAGTATAACCTGATTTGGGTTTTTGGTCCAATGGCGGTATAGCTTGACTTGTTTTTAGTCTTGTGGCGATATAGCCTGGTTTTGTTTTATAATGATCCGGTAGCGGTATAGCCTGATTTAGATTCTTTTTGTATGGCGGTATAGCCTACTTTGATTTTTGTTTGGCGGTATAGCCTGCGTTATTTTTTGTATGGCGGTATAGCCTGCTTTGGGTTCTGCATGGCGGTATAGCCTTTACTATTTTTATCTTGTTCCCGTAGCGGTATAGCCTGGTTTGAGGTTATCTTGTTCCGTGGCGATATAGCTAGATTTGAGATTTTGTGGTGATAGAGCCTGATTTTGGATTTTTATTCGTGGCGGTATAGCCTGTTTGATCACGTGTATCATGGCGGTAAAATTCACGAGGATATGTGAAAGTTTAACTTGATCACGAGTGGTATAGATTTTTTGTGATTGACATTAGTGGTTGAAACAAGCAATTGGTGGTCTTAGGTAGATCTAAGGCATGTGACAAACTTGATATTGGTAAAGATTTGAATTTTGACTTCCCCATATGTGCAAATGCAAGGTATTTTCTGATATGATATGATGCAATATTGTGATGAGATATGTTGGAAGGGTACATCTACTTTAAATGAATTTTGAGAATGAATGATATTTAATTTGGCTATGAATTTTTTATAGATGATGCCATATGATTAGTTTGAAGTGCATCGAGAATGATGCCATTCGATGCGTGTGAAGTGCTTTCGAAAAAGGTTGTATGATGGGTTATAGGATGATGTCTCGATGGTATGCAAAAGAAAGAGTATAATCCCTCATCATGGTCTTGATGTTTTTTTTTCATGGATTCTCTTAAATCGATCATCCACAAGGAAAATATGCCATTCCCTTTTAGTAAAATTGATCCTTGGTTGTGCTCGCGATGGGGTAGCATACTGCCGACATGGGTACTTTATTTCGTTGGTGTGTGTCACTATCTCAAGGTACTAGGCTTGCCATCTAGTTTATCCTCTTTTATATACTCAGTGAGCACAAGGTATGTCGCTTATGGGGATTGATGGAAGGTTGGTCTTCTGTTTTCTCCACCTTGGACATTGATTCTTGGGTGGCTGATGTATTAGCCATATGATCTTTTCATGGGATGTGCCTGGTAGGTTGTTTCTATGGGAGGATTTTGTAGCATGCTGGTCACAGGATAATGTGATCATTTAGTTTGCTTGATCTTCTTGCTATGTGAGCATGTCGTGCTTGGATAAGAGAAATTTGTTATCTCTGGGTATTGTCTTGCTGATGTTGGTTTTCTAGACATGCTTGATTGACCTCATCGGGAGGTACGAGGTACAAAAATACTTTGTTGACGGATAGTTTGATTGATTGGTAGGGTATCTTGAACAAAAATGATTCAAGATCTATGAGATTTCCCATTTACTCATGATTTGGTGGGTTTGGAGAACCACTTTCTTCTTTCTTTCCGAGTGGCACTAACTTGCCCCCGAGAATGTGTTATTCTCCTTCCATTCTTCGGAACAAAGTGTGAATTTTACCAATCTTGACTTAAGATGAATGCAAACAATGTTTGAAAAAAGATCATTTAAGAGGATATAATGGGAACTTGACTTTTGAAATCAAAGCCTTGTTGGGGGAATTGTGTGCAATATGAGAAAAATGATTTCTTGTGTGGTTATTGTCACCTTGTTTAAAAATTCTTTCTTTTAAGTCAAGCCATGAGAATATTCATAAGCTCTCACTCTCATTCTCACTTTCAAATCACTCTCACTCAATCCTATGGGTGCTTTGAGTATACGATACTTCAGCTGCTATCAAGATTCTCGTCACCATGTTGATGGGGGAAATGTGTACAAGGTATAGGTTGATCGGTTAGAGTTTGCGTGATCTTCTATGCCCCCAGAATTAAAGTTTTTCGAACTTTCCTGAAGAGAGGTTATTGACTGATATGAATCCAATTGTGAAAGTCCTTGTATTTTGGGGATCTGAATTTCCCCACACGAATGCTTGATAAATGAGACTCTCGTCCTTAGTCGTGTAAAGTCTATCATTTAGGGATTCTAGCTTGCCCCCAAAGTATGAGTCTGGTTGATGAATAGAGGAGATCCTTGTTGAGGATGTCTCGTTTTCTTTGAAAATGTTGATATATGTTTGGCTCAGGTTGTCCCCTTTTCTTGAAACTTGATTCAGAGAGGTGGGGTTGAGTAGTCAGTAACTGAGAACATTTGAGTGGAAATTCGATTATGGAAATCTTCTCACTTGTCGAGATCCTTGTTTGACCTCGAAAGGATGGATAAGGAGATCTTGGTATGATACAAGCTTCGACTTCACATTGGTAATCCAAATAATGAATGTTGAAGACACTTGTGTGGTGCAAGCATGGATGTTGAAGTCTTGTTATCATGGTGGTTGATAACGATGTAATTGCATGATTTTATACCCCTATTTCTTATCCATTTGCGGAGCATGGTTGTGTGTTTTGGCCTATTTTACGCCGGGTTGTGCTACTTTGTCCTATTTCAGGTCCCAGGCGTCAAAGGGAAGGCCAAGCACGAGTTTCGGATCGTTTGGAAGTCGTTTGGACCAGCCAGGGCCAAAACACGGGCAGGAGGCCCT